GCACGGGTGGTCCAGTCGCCTAAGGGGCGGCATTTCGTAGCGCAGAGTTGCGTCCCTTAGAAGTGCCAGGAACAGGGGGTTCGAATCCCGGTTAGCCTTGATTATGTGTCTATGTTTGTCACGCACCATACCCGGTCTCGTCGGTTTAACCAAAGTGGTAAACGTTTTAGGCCAGCATAACTTCATGCTTTCCTCCCACATCAAGCTGATCCAACTGAAATACCTTTCAAAGCTGTGTTAAACTACCTCACTATGATAGACATGTCCTGATACGCCCACCGAAAACGAATTTCTACATACTGAATGGAATCATATTCAATCATAATAAAATAACAGTAATGCTAATCATCATCATGTTTATCATAGGATAACTTTTTTTCGTATTTAATGTAGATTTTGGTTTTGGTTTGGTTTGTTTGTTTAACGCCGCACTCCGCAATATTCCAGTTATATGATGGCGGTCTGTAAATAATCGAGTCTGGACCAGACAATCCAACGATTAATATCATGAGCATCGATCCACGCGATTGGGATCGATGATATGCATTAACCAAGTCAGCGAGCCTGACCACCCGATCCCGTTAGTCGCCTTTTACGACAAGCATAATCACCTTTTACGGTAAGCATGGGTTGCTGAAGACCTATTCTACCCCGGAATCTTCACGGATCTATTTAATGTAGAAAACTTGTGCATGTTTTTGTACCACGTCAGTTAGGTTTCAATATTACATTTTTCTTACATTCGTTGTAATTTTTATATGTTTTTTTAAATATATTCAAATATACAATTATGTGTCGATTATCTGAAAGGTCATCGTGTCATTGTAGGACATCAACTTACAATACAGTGTTTCATCGCCATGTGTCACGACCACCTGTACGTGTAGGTAGAAGATTCCATGTCGTGCACGTGGCATTTAACCATCCCCAGAGACTGTGGTATTAATATGTTAGATAAGCTCTGGCTGTAAGCTCTAGGCCCAAGGGGAATAGAGCGCACAGGTTAGCATACAACCATTGCCGCAAGATGGGATCCTATGGGACAACAATTTGGTGCTGTGTGTTGATGTTGGCAATGGCCAGACCCGGACATGACCCATATGGTGGCATAACATTGCCCCTATAGCTAAATGATAATCACATGTGTTACAAAAAAATCTAAGGATTTGAAGCGCTGTACTACAATAGAAACACCTTAATGTTGTGTTTCGTGTTCATCTCAGGTCATATTCTATCTAATTCCATTTTCATTTTATAACCTTCCCGATCTTGGTTTAAAACGTTACGTTTTTATCAAACAAGGTAAAATGGCTGACTGATCTAAAAATGAAAAACTATTATATTTGTATTTTAGAAATTCAAATAGTACTTAATGTATAGACATCCGATTTCTTCTTGTATCTGTACGGAATGAACTGTAAGGCAACGACCCACTGTTTCAGACCGCCATGCCACGTGTTTAATTCCGGGTTTGATTCCTGAGCATTTATAAGACACTGTAAAACCCGCCCATCCTGCCACCCCCTAATTTTGGTGAAAGAAAGAAATTGGATGTGTCAGGCGTTCGAGGTCTTGATCGCAAAAGCAGGTGTATCACCTGAGTTATATATAGGGATCGTCTCAGGTTTCTCATGTTAAATGCGTGTAACTAGAAATATTTTAACAAAATATTTCAATAACCATAATTTGAATAATTAGATCATCATAATAAGTATAGCAGAAAGAACATGAACTAGTGTCGCGATTAGGGAAATAGTTTTCGGTTATAAGAAGCTTTAACTTTTGATATGTACCCTAATGACAGGTTACCTGTTTGAGTCTGTTGAACACATTCCTCATCTTGAATCCGGGCGAAACCAAATATGCTAACCTGACTATTAAGTATCTTCATTTGTCTGTTCTTTTAGTGCGTTGTTTATGGTTCAACAAACAGGTGAGAAACTCCGAGGTTTTTTTTATATATGTATGCATAATTGTGCACTCTGTTAAAATATAAATCAAATCATGATATATTCTTTTTCTTTAACTTGAAATCTTTCTTTAATACTCATATTTTACATATATATTGCTGCTCATAAATCTTTATATCCAGTTGTATTGTTGTTTTGATTATAAAATTTGGGTTTAAACCATTTCCTTGATCTTAATGTGTAACCATCTTTGAATCCATGATTCCTTAATCCGGACATGTGTTTAAGCGGACGGTTTCTTTGGGAACTTTACCGGCCGGGGATTTACGAAGCAATCCATCCGCGTTTTTTTCTCTCTCTCTCTCTCTCTCTCTCTCTCTCTCTCTCTCTCTCTCTCTCTGAGAAAGTGCATTGCAATCCATCCGCGTTTTCTCCCTCTAACTGTTTCTCGGTTTCTCTCTCTCTCTCTCTCTCTCTCTCTCTCTCTCTCTCTCTCTCTCTCTCTCTCTCTCTCTCTCTGTCTCGTCCTCCTCTCCTCTCTCTCTCTCTCTCTGTCTCTATGAGAAAGTGCATTGCAATCCATCCGCGTTTTCTTCCTCTAACTGTTTCTCGGTTTCTCTCTCTCTCTCTCTCTCTCTGTCTCGTCCTCCTCTCCTCTCTCTCTCTCTCTCTCTGTCTCTATGAGAAAGTGCATTGCAATCCATCCGCGTTTTCTTCCTCTAACTGTTTCTCGGTTCTCTCTCTCTCTCTCTCTCTCTCTCTCTCTCTCTCTCTCTCTCTCTCTCTCTCTCTCTCTCTCTCTCTCTCTCTCTCTCTCTTTGTAATCAATCAGCATTTTCTCGTCTCGTAATAAGGGACGACAAAGTTACTGTACCAGCCCAATTTTCCGCGGGTGGTTAAACTGCATTCAGATGGGTCACACGGCCAACAAATGCGCTGTTGGTGTTGATGACAATTAACCGCTTTACTTGATCCAGGAGATCCGGGTGGTAATGTTAGCTGACAAACTGCCCTGGAAACACCGATACACCTTGTAACTCGCATGTAATGCACAACACGTCGAGACGAATTATACACTTTTAACCAACGCAATGAACTTGATACAATGAATATATAACGGCGACATAAGCATAGATTACCCATTGGATAACATGGATAATTACAAATTTGAATATGTTTCTAAAGTGGATCCTTTGCCAGAATGGGCGATGAAAAAGTTTCATATTTGATAGAATAGAGAGAGAGAGAGAGAGAGAGAGAGAGAGAGAGAGAGAGAGAGAGAGAGAGAGAGAGAGAGAGAGAGAGAGAGAGAGAGAGAGAAATAATTTTCACTGCAGGTGAATTGTTATATATTCGACTTGTTCAATTGATAATATTTTTAACTGAGACGAATGGGAATCCTAATAAGAAATATATGGCTTATGTCTATGTTTAACTTCGAACATCCTTTGCCGATAAACGCCAACGAAGTTGGTCGTATGATGACCCTTCTCTCCCTCGATGCTTAAGCCCTCGGTATGGCGGCGTTTCTAGCTCCGTATTGTCCCGACCAAGTCTCCTGTACGTTAATTCAGTAAATAACTGTATTTTAAAGCACATTTTATTGCCCCTATAGCTGAACATAGACTTGGTTGGGCTAGATGCTGCCAGGTAGTTTTATTGCCATCGAAACCTTCTTTGTGATGGTAATAAGGACATTTCTCCCCCTTTTTCACCAATCTGAACGGATTGTGGTATTTGAAAGAGGCCTGGTGAAATATTACCCCCCATTGGAGGCTGCTATACAAATTCATTTAGAAGTTTAAACATTACAAAATGTTGGCGAGGGGCTTAGCTGTCAAGGGTATCCTGTTAGCCTTCACAGAGGACAATTGCGGCGAATTTCAATTGTAGAATTTACGCAGGCTCTTTGTGTTGGACGTAAATCAGGGGCTGGGTAATCCACGGCTGCTGTGATATCCTTTATACACTTAACCCTTTCTATGACAAACAAGGATAGCACGATGACCATGGTTGTGGAGTTGTTTCGCTGAAACACTTGTATACAACATTGGACGTTTGAAGTAAGGGACATCAAATTGTAGGAATAGTAACAATTATATGTTGACCAAGTTAATAGCCCTTGAGAGTTTATACATAAAAGTGTTTGAATAAATATATCATGAACAGGGTACTATTTCTACATAGTGTCGGATAATGATATAAAGTTACGATTGTTTTACGCCACGTTTAGCAATATGACAGTTATGTCGCGGCATATTTATAAAGTAGAAAGCTTGAAAATTAATCCGTAGATTTGGAAGTTTCGCATTTCACACTGAACATGTGACACCATGATTCTCTTATTTGATTCTCTGACGTTAGATAAAAAATACTGATATTAAAGACATGACGTCTTTCTTAAACAAAAACACCAATTACCAAAAATGTGATCTAAGGAGCGATACATCGATGCGCCTAGTTCCATCCCCTTGTCGTTAGGATGCACTTGTCGTAGGTTCGAATCTGAGATGCACTCCGAATATAATCCTTGTTCCGTTAGCACCGGTCTCAGTGTCGTTTGTTACACCAAGTGAAAAACCTCAAAGACATACGTCACAGTGGTTTTCCACGTAACTCCTGTGAGGTCCCGAGTTCGAATAAAACCCCAGTTTCCCATGCTGATCGTCAAAGGCGATATGTTGGTGGTCATGTGAATATTGGTTGGTTGCGTGTTATCTTACCCCGACGGTGTAGTTCGTTGCTCATAATATCAATCACTGGTCTGTCAGGTCCAGGCTCAATTATTAATAGGCCCCCACACAAACACACACATAGAGTTGGAATATTTGACATTATGCAATAAACAAACACATAGCCGTCAAATGTTTCAACAAACAGACTTCTCCACAATAAACTGACACCACTTAATATGCCTGAAATTCAATACGACTGTTGTGCTACGACCGCTGTAGGCCTGTGTTACGGCTTGAGAGTCGTAGCGCTTTTTGCAAGTGAACCCAGATTTTTCGTACTTACATTTTGAATGCTATTTGAAAGCAATATGCACTTCACTCAACGATGTCAGTAATAATTTGCCATTTCTTGCAGGTACACGGGAGACAGCCTTTATTTACTCGATCCTGAGTGCAGGCGTGGTGCACGCTGTGACGATGGCCTGCTCCGCCGGGAACTTGACTGACTGCTCATGTGATATGTCCAATTACGGAGAGGCCGATGTCGACGGTTGGAAGTGGGGCGGCTGTAGCGACAACATCAACTACGGAATATGGTTCAGTCAAAAGTTTGTGGACGCCCCGGATAAAACCAGACATAAAGATACCTGGGATATCAGGAATAAGATGAACCTGCACAACAATGAAGTCGGTCGGAAGGTGAGATAGCCTGACGTTACACTGAGTGAGTGAGTGGGCGGGCGGGTGAGCGAGCGAGCGAGTGAGTTTTACACCACACTTAACAGAATTCTAGCTTTATCATGGCGGTCTGTTAATAATCAAGCCTAGACCATTCCAACCAGAGGTTGACAGCATGATCAACTATAAACACCTTCAGGGTACCTTGACCCACAATCTGCTCAGCCATACCTTCTGACATCCCGATCATCATCAGTCGGCTCCAGCGACAAGCATGGTGTACCGAGGATCATATGCGCCTTAAATATCCACAGCAGTGGTCATTACGGTTGGAGTCCACTGTGAATATATCCAAGTTGTGCACTGCGAAACATTAGCTATATCCTGGGATACAGAAACCAATTATTACCACTATGGAAATGTTTTGTCTTTATCCTGTAGAGGGGCGGTCGGGTAGCCTAGTGGTTAAAGCGTTCGCTCGTCACGCCGAAGACCCGGGTTCGATTCCCGACATGGGTACAATGTGTGAAGCCCATTTCTGGTGTCCCCCGCCGTGGTATTGCTGGAATATTGCTAAAAGCGGCGTAAAACAATACTCACCCACTCACTTATCCTGTAGAGAATGGTGATAAGATACCTGTTACAACTGTTCCCACATACAGTAAACTACGTTTATAACGAACACGCTTAAAACGAACTGACTGATATAACGAACTTATTTTTTAGTTCCAGCCTTTTGTTGTATATATGCTGTACATATGCTTATAACGAACTACGGTTATTGCGAACTAAAATTAGTGGTCCCTTTGAGTTCGTTATAACCGTAGTTTACTGTATTTCCAATCTAGGTAATACAACTGTTGTATTTACGAAAAAGAATGACAAAAAATGTACTTTGTATGACAATCTAAGCCCACCTTTGATGATAAAATAGATTGGCTTGAATGACACTAAAAATCTAAAGTCATATTCTGTTCTGTAAGAAGACGTAACTAATCGCACACATAAACCCTTTTATATAGGCAAAGTGTATTCCATAGTCCATAGCCCCAAAACGACATAAAACAGTATTTGGCACGGCACTGCAAGCTTATCTTTAAGTCAACTTCGGTTATAACGAACCCGGTTATAACGAACTGACATATAAACCGACTGTTTGTATAGGATTGGTTGAATGTATGGATTTTGAAGGTTTTTTTTATAGTTTTCTGTCCTCTTTGGCCCAGATCGAATCTAAACATGAAGTCGATTTTCAGTTATCGACAAAATCAGATCTGTGTGTCTCCAAGGATGTGTAACAGTGGTGCAGTGCGCTTTGTTGAAAAGTCACAAGTCTATCTTTCTTTGGTCTGAACAGAAATAGACAATGGTGTTCAGGGAGTGTCTCGTTTCTAAGTCACGAGACATGTACCTCTCTCGACTGTTTCCCAGTCAAACCCGTAAATGAAAACCGTATTGTTTATGTGGTGGTAAAGAGACAGTTTTACACGGTGCCGACTCTGTAAACTCCAAGCTTTAAGGGCGAGCACTATGTGAACACCCATGTCCCGATAGCCTTAGTATTAATGACTTATCATAAACACCGAGCCCGACCGATAAATCAGGCCTCGCTATCAAATCTATCTGCAATGTTTTGTCGGGATGAGACAGGGGGGTGTAATTGCTCCTCACAATTTCAGATAGCCATATTTACATGCGAAATATTGGGCGATTCCTTATTGAGGACCCTCTATATGAGTGCCACAAGAACTATGATTGCCCCTTCGGGCGCTTGTGTGTTTGATTTAAGGATCACTGACGTCCCTAATGAGTCCTCGAGTTGCAACTCGTGGTGTTATGAAGGTATGGTGATAACAACACAAGAACCCTGCCCGAACTAGCTGATCTGTCTGTGGGCGGTCACCGTCGACAGAGAAACTGCGTGCTGAAGATGTCGTACACAACTAGGACGTTGTCTTCGAATATAAATCTCCAGCGACAGTTGTGAGAAAGGTGTGACCACATGATGCTGAACTTAGCTACTGTGAAGTGATATGATTATGCCAAAGAGTTTGAACACCTGCGTTCTTTACAGGTAAACCAGAGCCTCCCTACCGATGTGCCACCCCTTGATTATATTCACCCTATCAACAAGGGCCCCAGTTTATGTCAGTTTAGGGTGGTTTACCGAACGGTTTACCGGCCTACCTTGGTTGCTAAGATTGCCTGGCTATGTCGGTATCTGAAGGCACGGGGTGATCTACATGGCTATTAATCGTTACTTGATCGTCTCCTCCAGACAAAGGCTACAGGCAATGAAAACACTCAGCTTATGGTTATACAAACTTTGGTCTTAACAGTTGAGTTAGCTGTAAATCATCGCGAGACCAAGTTGTGCAAAGAGGTGGAATTTTTATAGTGGCCAGTCTCGATTTACGCAATCAACGTGGTCTTCATAGAAACACGTGGGCTGACTCACTTGCGGGGCTTTTTATTGCGTTTAAGAAGAAACACCCCGATTAACCACGAAGTCAAACTTGTATCCCGTGGAATAGCATTGTACAAATCCGATTGCAACTATCTTGCCTCCAGTTTTGATTGAAAGCCCAACTCGGATCGTAACTGGAGACTGTCGTGGTCATTGGTTTACGAAAGTCACCCAAAGATGATTTATTCTCAGTAAAATCACGCCACCCCCAATGTCAAGACTGTAATCGTTGTAAGTTAGACCCTGACCCAGTGTCACAAAGCGATCTTTGCGCTAAACTGTCGTATTTGTATGTTGCGATCGCCGTAGGGTAGACAGTTTTGTGGAACGGCACCGTTTTATTAAATTTGAATAAATGGGATCTGCAGTAAAACATTTTTCTCTAATGTTTTCACAAACGCGATGGGTTTTTTTGAATAGCGAAAATTATGACGATCTGTTTTTAAAGGGTTGATTGTCAGCCATTGCACATTTGGTTCAGACCGGATCGAAAATTAGCACCGGGTCGTGGACCATAGTCCCTGCGAAAGCTCCTTCGGGTGCGTTATTCCAGGGTTTGTCTGCAAATGTTGATTTTCTATAGAGATCAACCTCTATAGTCCGGATCTCATTACTCAACACAGTCAGGATCCATGCATCAACAATTTAATGCTCACTGCTTCGCTAATATTGCAACCTTCTGACACAGACATCATGCCAGACACCGAGCCGCCCACAGTGATGCTCCAGACGTGATGTATTGTTCTTGTACGATGACGTCTCGATGGTACCTGTGCAATCCCAAATATAACGAACATTAACATCCTCATCATGGCAGCCACGTGTAACGAACGAGTTCAGTTTTAGTGGCAACAGTTCAAGTCCGCAGGAAAAAATATGCCAGTTAGTCAAAAAGGTATCTCTCCCGCTTATAATCTACATGCAGACTAAGCCAGGATGGGACTTCTGTCTGGGCGTTTTTAACTGGGAGCATGATCAAATAGTTAGAAGAGGTTTTGAAATACCCGTCTATCATAGTTAAAGGCTTGCGGCGGATAATTCTCTAATTTTCCTTTCGTTGTGCATCCATGTTATGTACCAAAGTATTTCTACGTCAAACGGTCACACTGCAGCATTTGTCACCTACATTTACATTATACTCTACTGAACATATTTAAAAATTAGAAAGGATCTATCAGGGTGTATCACCATTGATCCGAACGTATATATAATGTTTCCAAAATGTGCAATTCAAAAGAAGTTTCAGAAAACCAGGTTCGTTTATATTACTGTAGTTAATCTGTCCTGCCTTGGCAGGTTAACCATAGTGGGTGTCCTTTAACATCTTTTGAGTAGTATATAATTATCTATTCAAAACATTGCTCCGAAATGGATAGTGACGTGACCAAATAGCTTTAATTTGCATTATTGCAAATGACATGTGGACAAGGGCACAAAGATTTGTGTGGCTTTTTTAGCATTCGTTGTATTGTGGCATATTATGCCACGAGCTCCTCTCTTAGGTTGCAGGAGGTACACGAAACTCCATCTTCTTTTGCATTTTTCAAAATTCTCACCCATTAGTTCTTGAAGGCAATGCCAGCTAATGCCAGTTCGTGGAATCATTTGGTCCATGAAAACCTTAAATCTCCATGAATAGCTGCTACAATTATTTGAAACCTAAAAAGTCGTTCCTTAATGCTGTTTTCGTGAAATACAACCTATCAGTTGCCTATGTTAATCATCTGCAGATGCTAAAAGAACCATTACAAACGAGCGTAGATATTCCATAGTCATATGGTACAGGGGTAGGCATCCAGCCACCTGTATTCCTGTCAATGTGATCGTAACATACAGGTTGGATGACGGATTCCCTCAATCCAACTTTTAGTACGGTTTCAACCCTTGGCTTAATAAAGAGCTCCATCATACAGAGAAGAGACGGGTAATATAAAAAGAAAGAGTAAGTATATTTCCAGAAACGAACAGCGGCAGTGAGTCAGGCAGTTACTAACTCAGCATATAGGCCGGGACCCTTGCAGTGAATCTAAAGCAATGATCTCTAGGATTGAGAACACACCGACGTGGAAACAATTTATGACCTTCCTGAGAAAATATGCGTGAAAAGCAGCGACTAATAGCTCCGTATCTAGATTGTATGCTGGCGTTATGTCTCCTGGAAGTAGGGCTGGCACAGTCTAACTGCTCAGACCCACGGCCTATCTTACAATAGGGAGATGGTTATATTAAGAATGTCTAACAAATGATTAAACGCTTCAAGGATTTCATTGTAGCAGCTAATCCCCGTACTGCCCTGGCGCTCCCTGGTAAAGTCGGACCCTTGGTTTCCAGCAGTCTCAAATATTTCAATTGCCATTGAAGTAATGAGTGATTTAACATTGAGAATGAGATGGTCCACGTGATGGACTCCGTCCAAGGTGTATAAACAACTGCCACATGGAGAGTTTTGACATTCTCAGTAATGGAGTTACGTCTCTTTGGGATTCAGTTGTCTTTACTTAGTTCTGCGTGAATTCATATCTGAATCTGCAACATACTTTTTCACAATGGGCCG